CAGAAAATTTTCCAGTTCGACGAGAGTGACCGAAAAGTTGTAAATTTTGGAAATTTCCGTGGACAACACCTGGTCCTAAAACGAATTAGTTAGAAAACAAATGAAGGACAATCTATTAAGTTTAACATATTTAGATTTTTACAGCTATGGTGAGAAATGTTAAAATTTACAACAACCCTGTCGCGTCCTTTGAAATATACTAGTGATGCGACAAAAGAGGCATTTGACATTAACCGATATCGGCACCCTCGGGATTTGGCATGCATGCATGCACGCACTGCACACCTACCAAGGTCGTCTCTGATTACACTCGTAGGGAGCTATTTGAGTAAGTGTTAAGATTTGAAGAGTAAACAATATTTTATGTTAATTTATGTATGTTTCTTTACAAAGCTATATTTAATTATAATTTTCTTATATTCATACAATTGAAGAATGTTTTGTACCAGGTATGTATATCCACCACACATTGTTATTTCATCAAGTTTTTATAATTTTATTTTTAATTTTAGCCCTTATATCGTGGCTAGCGATTCAGAATGTAATTGCGATATTGAAAATTTATTTTAAAAAACTTTTGGCTCAAGTTCATATAATGAAAAAGAAAACATTATTAAAAGAGAAAGGCCAATGCCTAAGTTAAATATAAACACTTCAATAAAAAAATTTGTTCGACATTTTCACGATAAAATGGCTCTGTAAATGCATAAAAATGCAAAAATTGTTTTGTTGGCTTGCCTTGCCTACTATTTTCAAATGAAATTAGTGTGTGGAATAAGAATGGCTTTGATAATTTAGCTGGCAAAAGACACGAAAAATCGTCGATTCTTTCATATTTGAAGCAATTTGGAAAGCAAAGCGGAATAGAATTTAACATTAGTAAATAATATAAAATAAATATTGAAAATTATAAGGTAATTACGGCACATAACATCTATTAATTTAGATAAAATATATGTTTTTATCAAAGCAAGAATCGGCATTTAGAGGGCATAGGGAATCTATTGAATCCAATAACAGAGGTAATTATATTGAACTTGTTTATTTATTAAGTACGTCAGATAAATAATCTATTAAAATTACATTTAGAGAATTAACTGATTGCCGCTGGAGGTCGGCTTCTTACAGAAACAGCTTCCCTATCAAATGTCACGCCACGCCACTGCTGAACAGTATTTTGATATATTGACAGTTTCATAAATCCTGTGGACATGGTGGTCATGACAAAATGCTATACAGAATTAAAATATTTTATATACAAAAAACAGATGAAATATTTGTTGCTTTACGTCCTACCCGCGAAATCAAACGTAATATACAGGTATCCCTGTATAACGTTTTGCTCAACCACGGTTTTGGAAATCCTTTGTACAAAATTTCACAGTTTAACGTAAACTTCATTATTCGATATTTTTTTTTTTTTATTCAAGTGTGTTGACTCAAATTTGCCGATGGATTTTAGAATATTGAAATTTTCAAATTCGTCAGATTTACTTTAATGAAAACTGAATAAAATTTTTTTCTTCCTTGTCCTAGCTTTCCTATCAAGAAGTGTCATTGTACAGGTATACCTCGCCTTACATCGGTAATTGGTTCCAGGAAAACGACGTAAGTCGAAAAACGACGTAAGTCGAATTTACCTGTCTCCGAATCTACTTATCACTAGGAAAGCATTTTAAATAATATATGGTTAATAAAAATCTATTTTAAGCTTACAAACAAATAAATTTTAGTTTTTAATATAGTACAAAAAAAGTAATCTAAATTTACGAATGCGTGTACTGTAAATACAGTACATACTTGTATATATTTTAATATGATTTTATGTGCTTTAAACGTTTATCTAGTGATATTACGACTTCAATATTTGTGGCGGACAGACGTAAAGTCGAATAAAATGACTTAAACTTGATTTTTATTTTTCCATATACTTTTTTAACAAGCGACGTATAATCGGGAACGACGTAAGTCGAGGTATGCCTGTAGTTGCTTTCAGGCTTCAGTCCTGAAAGCAACGACAATGATGACGACTGTCACTGTATTTTGTTTTTATAGATTAAATAAACTTTTTCTAAATACGAAGATTAAACCTTTTTTAACCGTAGGTAAGCAATCATTCGTAAATTGACGAACGAAATAAGGCGGTATCTCGGTACTCGAACACAAATTCTGGAAAAAAATCACTTGGTATTCGAATGAACAGATGCGACCAGTTAGAACAAATTTTCGATTAATTACAATTTTTATTTCATTCATAAAAATTGTTTATGATAAAAATAAAAAAATATGAAAAGTTGCTGATACTTCTGTTCAAGATCTACAAAAAAGCTGAGGTGACGACGATTCTTTGTAAAAAAAACGTCCTCGTCTAACTAAAATTAATATTAACACGTAATACAGTACAGTAATACCTCGACTTACGCGAACCCGGAGTTACGCGATTTTCAAATCTCGTCGATTCCTCTTTTGTTTGAGCGCCACGCATCTCATGATTACTCACTCCCCCACACAGCTTACATATTCGGACGTGTCGAGCGGAATTGACACATAGCTACAATTTATTTTGTGTTATTTATTTCTGTGTTTGTTATATCTACGGAGACTTGAGAGACTCTATGTGGCGATTTCTTGTAACCGTGAACGAATCAAAAGACGAGATAAGATTAACGAGAACATTTATTAGCTTACATACATTCGATTTCGATTTTACACAAATTGCGAAATTATACCCCGACTTACGCGGTTATTGCTCGGTCCCATCTATCGCGTAAGTTCGGGGTATTACTTAATAGTCTTAATATACGAGGTAGTGTCTATGCTCTTAGTAAATTATATGTATAAATTATTATGGCTTGTGAGCGCTAAGATTGACTTTTACTTTACCTCTAGACTTATTACACTACCACAGGACATCAAATTAGATTTAGAAAAACACTATTTTATTTTCAGAATGCATTTCGGACATGGAGTCCCTCATCAGCTTTTTTGCTACAAAATTAATAGGTTAATGGACGGATACATGCTGCGTACGTCCAGGGAAGCAATCCTGTAGGTGGGCTCGAACTTTATTGTTTTGAGTCTTTGTATAAAGTAGTCAGTGCAATGTATGCTATAAGGGGATTTGACAAGGGTGTTTAGTTTTTCTTTTAAAATAAGTTCTAAATTATAAAAGATATATCCTTTTATATCAACCATAGGTCTATAGGAGACTGGAACTTTATGGGTTTTAACCCTGTAAGAGAACTTTGGTGTTCTGTTTTCACTGTACCACACCCAAATCTTACATTGATGAAACTAGTAGGGAATTAAAGGTCCGTTTCAACGAACATATCTATGCCATAGCACACAACAATGATAGCTCAGCTGTAGCCGCCCACTGTAAAAATGAAGGCTGTCAGATTGTAAAGGATACTGTCAAAATACTTAAAAAGGAACAAAATACTTACAAAAGAAGATGGTACGAACACTTAGAAATAATAAAAAAACAAAGAGAAATTCATGAATAACAACTTCGGCCAAAAATTACACGAATCGTGGTACGCATATTTGACCAGAGGATGCGTGGTGGGAGGGGAGAGGTGTGAAAACGGATAGGGGTGAGGGTGACGATTACCCCTGGAATGTACTTCGAATCGTCTTGTTACTCTGTCCGTGTTACTGTGAAGTTACTTATCATTTTGTTTTAACAATGTATATTTTTACGACTTTACTGTTTTACCAGAACCTCAGTTTATTATTATGTTATTGTATCAACATTACCGTTTAATGGAAAATCTTGGTTTATCGCGTGCTTAGTCTTTTAATTAATGTTCAACGCATCGAATCCACGTGTCAAATGTTAGTCCACATTCTTTGTTCATTTCTGTCAATCACGGTCTTTCTATAAAAATTGTTAACCTATTAATTTTATAGCAAAAAAGCTGATGAGGGACTCCATGTCCGAAATGCATTCCGTTATAGGAACCCGCGTTACAGTAGACCCCCTATAACGCGGGTTCCTATAACGGAGATTCCTATAACGCGGCGAAACAATTGCGACAATATTCGTATAAAGACGCTAAAAGAGCCGCGTAAAACGTCATTGCGGACGAGCAGCCGAACCGACTTCAATATTTGTGGCGGACAGACGTAAAGTCAAATAAAATGACTTAAACTTGATTTTTGTTTTTCCATATACTTTTTTGACAAACGACGTATAATCGGGAACGACGTAACTCGAAACGACGTAAGTCGAGGTATGCCTGTACTATTGAACGCAGAATAAACGATATGGCCAGTGACATTCGAGAACAAGTAGTCGAGAAATTAAAGAAGAGCCCATATTTTGCTTTGCAGTTTGACGAATCTACTGATGTTTCAGATTGTGCACAGTTTGTAGTATTTGTGCACTTTGAAGCAGATGAAAGTATCACAGAAGACATTTTATTTTGCAAAGCACTTTCTTCAAACACCACAGGTCAGTGTTTGTACGACATATTTTTAGAAAGCATTCGCAACTACAAGATTGATTGGACAAAATGTATTGCCATTTGTAGCGATGGCGCTAAAGCTATGACTGGACAAAAAGGCGGACTCGTTGCAAAATTAAAATCAATAATGCCTAATGTCTCATGGACACACTGCTTTCTTCATCGACATGCTCTGGTAGCCAAGGTTTTACCTTCTGATTTAAATGAAGTGCTTAAAGAGGTGATCAAAATTGTGAATTCTATTAAAGGTAAAGCCTTGCAAACCCGACTGTTCAGAATCATTTGTGAAGACATGGGTTCGCTTCATCAAAATCTCCTTTATCATACAGATGTCAGGTAGCTATCCAAAGGAAAGGTATTGACAAGAGTTTTAGAACTGAAAGCTGAATTGTTAATGTTTTTACAAGGTGCTAAATCTGAATATGCGAATTATTTATGTGACCCNTAACTAATACTATGACCAGTAAATAACAGAAATCAAGTCCCGCCATTGGCGCTGTTCGCCGTAGCGGCATATTTTAGAACTAATGTTCACTCGGGCTAGACTCTTGTGGCTCTCTTCGTGACAAAAAGTCATAGTTTTAAAAAATTAACAGTGGCAATTAATGCCTACACCGAAAGCTCAAAACAGTTTTTCCACATCAATATTGGAGGGGGGAAAACCTGATAAAACTTTTAACGAAATCTTTATGATGAAAGAAAACAGAATTAGAACTAATTGTTACATAAAATAGTTAACATTTTAAAACCTTCCATTTTTATTCACGATCTCAAGTAAGTAACCTGACATCTAGTGGAAAAAATGTTAACTATCCATCGTAGGGTCGCATACGTCATGCATTGTTCGTGTTAGTATGAGTAAAAGTAAAGTGTTCTGTTGTGTGCAAGGTTGTAATTCGAAATATAACAGTTTGAAAAATATCAGTTTTCATCATTTTCCGAAAGCGGGTAAAGTTAAGATCATTAATAAAGTTGGCAAAGAGGAAAATATCGAAAGAAAAAAGGCTTGGGAATTAGCATTAAAGATGGAAAAAAAAATGACTCCATCAATGAGAGTTTGCTCTCTACACTTTATAGAAAATGATTTCATTTTACCTGGTAAGAAAATTATCCTAATAATAATAATGTAACAAAACGATTCTTTTAATTACTTGATCTCATACTAAAAATTAGTATGGCCCGACATTAAATAAATATATATATATTTGTAATTCAATTTTAAGAATTTAATAAATTTTCAAATTATCTATGATTGCAGGTGTACCATCAAAAAAGAAATGCCTCAAAAAAACTGCTGTTCCTAGCCAAAATTTGCCAGTTACAAATAAACAATTTTTTGATCATTGTGTTAGGAAAAACAAGCATAACAAACTTTCAAAGCCTATCCAAGAGACAATCAATAAGACGCATCCAGAAACTAGTCATAACTCAAAACCTACTGTACAAGATATTGAAGCGGCTCGAATTTTATTAGAGTTAGAAATTTTATTAGAATGATGGAAATGATTATTGAAGAACACAAAATCCCAGAAAAAAATAATAAAGTATTGTAAATGTTTCTATTCAAGTTAAAACAATAATAATAAATGTTACCTGACTAACATTTAATAGTTGGTATTATATTGATAATTGCACACAGTATATAAGGATAAATCAATAAATAACCACTGGTTATTGATTCATTCTTTTATATTGATGAAATTTTGAAATATGGTAGTCATGACAATTTAAAGTACTTTACAATCAAGATGATTTTTGCTTAAAATTGTCAATTTTAAGCAAAAATCATCTTGTAATTTTTGTAAAATAGAATAGTGTGCATTTTCTAGAAATAAAATTATATAAAAGAATCTTCTCCATGACTTTAAGATATGAAATTAAAACAGGTTGGGAATAGTGAAAGCAGATCTTTAATTAAACAAACTATTGTAAGGTCACAGAAACATACTATAATTTCTAGTATTTCTTCAAAGTATTCTTCAGTTTGGTTCAGTAGAATGGGTTTTATTTGTTTTAAGTTTGAAAACTTCAAAACTGTTTGTTCATGTAACTGAAATGTGCATATTTCAAAATATAATTATACAAGCATAATATATTAAAATAATAAATACATTAATTATAGTTTTTAAAAATAATTTTATATAATATGTAAATAAAATACTATGTGGTATTTGTTAGGATAGAAATCAGTAACAATGAAAAGAACAAAAGATTAGAATTGAGTTAAATGACAATATAGATTGAGAAT